GTGATCCTGTGTCCAGTCTAGGTCTGGATTTTGCCGGGCTGCTGGACGTAGGAGACGGGGGAGAAGACTTACCCAGATCTCCTGGATATAATGATCCCTTCAGCCTGGGGACTGGCATATATGCTGCCTGGAGATCTGTGTTCTCTCCCTGCTGTGCTGGCTGTGTTGTGTGGTCGTTTTGCATGCAGCCGGCGCCATCTTGTCTGCTGGGGCCGAGAGCAGGGAAGAAGCTGATAATTTTACCAGGGTGTCCCGGCGTTTTCCGACATCGGGTCATAGCCCTGTCAGATGGCAAGGGGTTAATGTTTCTGCTGCTGTTGTTTATATTCCCTGGGGCAGTAGTGTTTTGCAATCCTGCTGGTGGGGGATGGAGCTCTCTTCCCTAAGCTTCCATCCTCGGAGCCGGCCACCCTGTTGTCCATCTTGTCTTCTTAAAGAACATACCAAAGATAATAAAACACTCCTTCCAAGTAAAGCACATCAACCAAATTTATTTATTTCAGTCATTTGTAAAGCACCTATATATTACTTAAAAGCGTTAACATACTGTATACAGTATATGTATAATATTATATTTTTTGTACCATTTACATCAGATCACCATTCCTCAAAAAAGTTTAGAGACTTATACATACCACACAATAGGGCCAATTATGCTACAAATGCCCAAACTTTACCAGTCCTTTAAATCAATAACAGCTATTGGCCATCTTTTTATAGCAGAAGTAGCTGTACTCACTGCACATATTGAATCTCAGGAGGTACAGTATGTTCAGTTGTAAAAGATGGTATTTGAAACAGAAAAGGAGCTGAATTCAATATCCGTTCATACACTCTGCATCTGGAGCAGTGGTCTCGAAACTGCGGCCTGCTTGTCTTTATCCGACAAGAAAAGGGGCCCTATTTCTCTCACTGACACCAAAAACAGGGCACTATTCCTCCCACTGACACCAATGATAAGGCACTCAAACTGACACCAACGATAGGGCACTATTCCTCCAACTGATACCAACAATGGGGCACTATTTTTCTCCCCCTAATACCAAAGATGCATTGTTTATTCCCACTGAAACCAAGACAATTTCAACTCCCAATGGCCACAGACCGGCCTCCATAAAGTCTGAAAAAAAGTAAATTGGCCCTTTGTTTAGAAAGTTTTGGAGACCCCCTAAAGCAAAATTGGAGACCCCTAAAGCAAAAGTGTACCTGTGTCTCAGAAAGCACATAGTCCAATCTGCGCTCTGAATGAACACAGGCTGCATTACAGACTCAGAGACCTGCTTACAAATTTCCTTGTTTCACAACCAACTGAGTATTAGATTTATGTCTCCTGCATTAATCTTCTGTATCTGATCTCACATATTAGAAGCAACTCTTTCTACAATGGGAAAGCAGTGCATACATTGGAGTTTGTCTGTTGTTGTTTCTAAAATTCCCCCTGCTGCTGGAATTGCTGTGCTGTTATTGACTGTGTTTGATTTCTTCCTCTTACAGCATCTGCCTTTTTGCATGACCTCAGATTGAACACATGTACAGCTACACTGCCCACATTTGCAGAAACATGTTTCAGCAAGGATTTTTGCATTCACTATAGTTCAACAACCATCTGTAATTATCCCCAAGATGAAGCTGATTTCAGTAAATCAACCCAACATATTACCCAGTTTCTTTATAAAATACAAAAGATGAGGTTTGTTCAAGTAAATATAAAACCCAACCTGCCAAACTTTAAAACCGTGCATGCTCATAAAATGGCAGCAAACTTTGCTATCCTATTAGATCCCTTATGTCTCCCCTGTACTTCATTAAAGCTAAAGAAGCACAGATCAGCTGGGGAAAGTGACAGCCAAAAAACGGAAGTGACACTATATGTATCATTTATGTTTTTTTTATAGCTAGAAGTGATGGTCCAGGACCAGGACCAGGACCAGGGTTCGACTTTGGATAACTGTCATCTGAAAGATGCTAGTCTGCTAGTCATCTTGTGATGCTCACATGCATAGCATGTGTGTTGCGCCCCCTCCCCCCACACACAAACACACACATACACTTTGTCAATGTATGACATCATGGCAGAAAAAGGGTTACATTAAATAAATTAAAAGCATCCCACCTAAACATGGATGAGGATTACAATCATTTTAAGAGTTAATTGCCTATATTGCAAGGTGCAGAGGGCTACTAGGACACAGTATTCCTTTTGATGAAGCCATGCATAATAACTATGCCAAGTTTAAACTTGTTTTAAACTGTAAAATCATGTTGCATAATAAAAATATGGGCTATTAAATTGTAGTCTGTGATCATAGAGATATTTGTTTAAGTTAGGAAATTGTATTTGAAGAAGAGTCTGCTATATAACATGGAACACTTCCACACCCTCGGCCACTCCTCAGACTCTTTAATTGCTTATGTCAATTTTACAACCTACGGTACCTCTTCAGGGGTCACAAAAAGCTGATTTAACTGCAGCTTATCAGCTCTCTTTTTTATCTAAACATCACACACATGTGAGATTCATTCTGAGGTGTAAGGATTCTAAAACAACAAATTTGTCTTATGCTATATTAAACTATACTCTGCCAGAACCTAAAGACCAGAAAGCTTGTTAAAAGAGAAGTATGGCTTCTTTTTTTCCCCATTATACTTATCTAGGTGGATGCAGCATTTGTCCCTCAACAGCTATAAGGGTGAGAACTCAGCATTCACATGACTGCCGATGTCTGAGTTCTCACAGCCGCTCTGAGCAGAGAGCGGTAACTGTAAGTCACCACTCTCTGCTCTGCCCCTCCCATACTCACTGAAGCACTGGGCTGTGGAGTGGGAGGGAGCAGCAGGCTCAGGCTCTCAGCGGTTCACTGAGAGGCCGAGCCAGGTGCTGCTCCAGACACTGGGGTGGATCCTGACTTCAAAGTCAGGATTTTTCCCCAGTCTGGATAAGCTCAGTGATGTGAGCCGACAGCAAGCTTCAGCCTGCTTTTGGCTGAAAATAGGTCACAGGAGTGCAGAACGAACTGTACTCATGTGATCCACAGGAGAATTACAGCCAAAAATGTTTTGGCTGTACTTACTATTTTGTAATAGCTTTTTCAGTAAATATTTTGCTTGCACTGCTTTTCCTTCTCTTTTAACACAATGTTTTAAAATGTGTTAAGCTTTCTCTCTAAAGCACTCAATTAGAACTAAAATAATTTTTAAAGAACTCATGTTCTTTAAAGAAAGATACTGCATGTTTACACTGTTTCATGCTTTCATGTTTTACAGTCATCCCTGTCTGTTTCATTCCTTTCTGAAGTGGCAATGGGTGTCACAGACTTGTCTTAAATGTCACATTTCTTACACTGGATAATGTGAGCAGTGTATGTTTCCAATAAAACAGCTTTTGTTTGTTGCATAAATGGTTAAATGCAGAGTTAATAAACCCCAGTTGCAATCACTCACAGTCTGTTGAAACTATGATTGTTGTCCCACAAACATAAAAATCTCTACACAGGGTGAGCCCGAGAATACCATTGTCACACCATTTTCTACTCCATTTTCTCTTTCAACACTTCAGGCATTACCACTTTCAGTAACAGTGAAGTAACACCTCTGTTGAAAAGGCCAAAGACCAAAGTTTAGATCCTCAGGATCCCACCTATGCAAGAGCTTAATCTGCTGATTGGATGGTTAGTTTATAACCATCAGTCTGTGTCAAAGGACTTAAAACTATTCACATTCACAGACCAGACAAAGGCCTTAATCTTGCCTGGAGAGGTTAGAGCAATTGACAGGAACTTATTGCACTCCTAAATTATCCAACAGGCAAATTTAGAACTGATGAACTAAGTGAACTTCTTCTCAAACTTGATATTGAAGAATGGACCTTACTAATCAGGCGTTAGGTACTTAGTCATTTCCCATGGAGTGGACCCAGTGGTGGCCTTACTATGTTCAGAAAAATGGGCAGTAGTAGGTTCTAGATTTTAAAGGGAATATCAAATGTCCTTTCCACCCATCTTCTTGGAATTCATCAGAGATATAAACAAGGCTAAGAATGACCGAAGCTTCACTGTTATTGACATACACCTAACTTCACAGCTGCAAGGCATGGGAAATACAGTATATATGGCTAGGTGTAAGGACTTTAGAGGTATTTGGGTTGATTTTCTAGAGTCAATGAGGTTTTTCATTTTGCAAGGAAAAATTTAACAATTAGTAGAAGTGAGGCTGACAAAGCAGTGGTGGGGTTTTGGAAAAATGAATATATCCTGGGGTTGGGTCACCAGCCCAATAAATCAAACAACACAAAAAAAATGTGTTCAAGGGTGACTGTATTTATATATCAAATCCAAGTACTCTGATGAATCTTTAAATCCAACATATCGAATTTGATTAAATATATATTAAAAACATAAGAACACAAAAATCATCCATAAAAGTCACATATAGAATTTACAGTCCACAGTATAGAGTCAAAGTTTCACAGTTAGCACCACTTCTATAAAACATTATGGTCATACATGACAAGTATCCGTTAGATATCTGGAATCAGAAAAAAATATACATGCAAAGGTATATATTTCCAGTAAAATAAACAGATAACTTGACCCCCTAAGGGGAGAAGCGGTGAAAAAGAGGATGCAAAGAAGGATAAGAAAAAAAAAACACATATACAGCATATCTACTTACCACACTCAATACTTACTAGGGGACAAAACACATTTTGTGATTCTTTGAGGAGGTTTAAATGGCCATTGATGACCACATGATAAGATGATAAATATTTATGGCGTTCTCATGTATGAGTATAATGTTTTGAAGAAGCGGTGCTAAACTGCGAAATGAGTCATAACTTTGACTCTATACTATGGACAGTAAATTCTATATGTGACTTTTCATGGATGATTTTTGTGTACTTATGTTTTTAATATACACTATATTGCCATAGGTATTAGGACACCCCTCCAAATCATTGGATTTAGGTGTTCCAATCACCTCCATAGCCACAGGTGTATAAAATCAAGCACCTAGCCATGCAGACTGCTTCTAAAACCATTTGTGAAAAAATGGGTTGCTTTCAGGAGCTCAGTGAATTCAAGCGTGGTACTGTGATAGATTGCCACCTGTGCAATAAGTCCATCCATGAAATTTCCTTGCTATTAAATATTCCACAGTCAACTGTTTCTATGTGTTATATGACAAAGTGGAAGCAACTGGGAACAACAGCAACTCAGCCACAAAGTGGTAGACCATGTAAAATGACAGAGCGAGGTCAGCGTGTTCTGAAGCGCACAATGTGCAGAAGTCACCAACTGTCTGCAGAGTTAGTAGCTAAAGACCTCCAAACTTCATGTGGCCTTCAGATTAGCATAACAGCAGTGTGTAGAGAGCTCCATGGAATGGGTTTCCATGGCCGAACAGCTGCATCCAAGCCTTACATCACCAAGTGCAATGCAAAGCATCAGATGCAGTGATGTATAGCACACCGCCACTGGAGCAGTGCAGATCTGTTTTCTGGAGTGACGAATCATGCTTTCTGTCTGGCAATCCAATGGACATGTTTGGGTTTGGCAGTTGCCAGGAGAATGGTACTTGCCTGACTGCATTGTGCCAAGTGTAAAGTTTGGTGGAGGGGGATTATGGTGCAGAGTTGTTTTTCAGGGGTTGGGACTTGGCCCCTTAGTTTCAGTGAAGGGAACTCTTAAGGAGCCAGCATACCAAGACATTTTGGACAATTTCATGCTCCCAACTTTGTGGGAACAGTTTGGGGATGGCATCTTTCTGTTCCAACATGACTGCACACCAGTGCATAAAGCAAGGTCCATAAAGACATGGATGAATGAGTTTGGGGTGGAGAAACTTGACTGGCCTGCACAGAGTCCTGACTTCAACCCAATAGAACACCTTTGGAATGAATTAGAGCAGAGACTGCGAGCCAGGCCTTCTCATCCGACATCAGTGCCTGACCTCACAAATGCGTTTTTGGAGGAATGGTCAAACATTCCCATAGACACACTCCTAACCTTGTAGACAGCATTCCCAGAAGAGTCAAAGCTGTAATAGGTGCAAAGGTTAGGTCAACTCAATATTGAACCTTACAGACTAAGACTGGGATGCCATTAAAGTTCATGTGTGTGTAAAGGCAGGCATCCCAATATTTTTGTCAATATAGTGTATGTTTAATATAATTCTGTATGTTGGAGTATTTGGATTTGATATATAAATACCAGCGGGCCACCCTTAAACACCCTTTTTTCTATTTTCTTTTGTTGTTTAATTTTTCAAGGGACATTTTCCCTTAGCTTAGTTAATGTGGTGGTCATTCAATTGCAATTTCAGGATTTTTTAACTTGTTCAGCATAAAGGAAAATGTTTTATCCTACCCTATGTTCCCATGTATTGGAATGGAATGGAAATTTCAGGAAGAAGAGCTTATACCTCTGATTTCATTATTGTTCCTATAGAAAAAAACTGAGAAGATTGTGATTCCTATACTCATTGAATGCAATTACCTAATGACATAGATGAAATCCTTAAACCAGAAGATGCACTTTCTGAATCTCACCATCCACCAAGGCATCCGGTTCACTGTATCCCACCACTCAGCAGCAATGCCAAATTCATAATTCTGCTAGGTAGAGACACCCTGAGAGTGCACATGGTATGCTAGCAGCACAGTGGTTGGAGAAATAGTCCATATGCTCAAAAGACTGATCTAGGTATTGATATCTATCAGAACCCATTGTTAATGCCAACCTCAAATATTGGATGATGTCCACTCCAATAAAAGTATCACACAGGGAAGTCAAGGCTACATTACAGAACTGCTTTATAATAGACCAGGTGATGCAACACTCCAGACTGCCATTTAAAGCAGCAAGTCTGCATCTTCTTCAGGCAAACCAGGATTCACTGAGACTGAGATCCCCGCTAACTCCACTGATAGCCCAGTCAATGCACCTGTAATGTTAGCAGTGAATGACCAAAAGGTAAGAATCGTATGGCCCAGTCATCATGCAAGATTATTCCCTAATTCACAAGATGTAAGTAGAGCTTTACAGAGATGGACTTGTCAAGACGTTCCTTGAGCCATCTAGAGGGACAACTCCACCTTTACTACCAAAGATCTAAGCAAGCTTGCCACCTTTGAAGAACTGACTAAATAACAACACTTCCAAGAACTGTTGAAGCTGTTTAAAATCTACAGTGATAAAAACTGATCACAGACTTCACTATTCCATGGACTTATGCATTCATTTGTTGTTTCTTGTTCTCTCTTTTTCGGTCTAGAGGACACAAATCATCCATATTCATGGATTTTATTGGGGTTTTTTGTTATTGCAATGCAATCAAATGTTAAGAATAACAGGAATAGGAATGTGGAGTTTTCTGCCATGTACAGCCCATTAATGGTTGTTTATTGTTATCTTTTGTGCCTTAGTATGTTCCACTCTTTTGCACTAGTTAGACCAACCCTTACTTGTCACTCCCTGCTTCTCTATGCTCTCTGCTACTTTTGTTTTTGTCCTGATGAAGTAAAGATACCCTTCCCCCTATAAAGTTATAAGGCTTTTTTTTAGCCTTCAGTTTTTTAATTTCAGTTGGTGGGCAGTGAGCATCATGTTTGATGGTGGATTTACAATGAAGGGCATTTTGTAGAGATTTAATTTTTTTAATAAAGGCCTTGCCTCCTATTCGAGGGGTCAGTATCTGGGGGTCCCTTATTTTGAAATGGGGCTTCCAGAATATGATATACCCTGTCAGGAGTTCTACAGACCCCCTTACCACCAGCTAGGGTTGTGGGGAGGAGGCACTTGTCCTCATCAATTTGGGTACAAGGTGCTTTTCCAGGGGGCAAATGTAATAAAAAAATATTTTCACTGGTACATGTTCCCCATGGCAATGTCCATCCCCCCTCCCCATGCCATGCTATTTTTTTTGACAACCCGATTCTCCCAGAAAATGTGCATTTTTTTTAATATGACAGATTTAGCTTCAATTAATTTTAATGGGGTTCAGGTTCTGCATTTGAACTTTGCTGAACCCTACATGAATCATTCCTAAAACAAACAGGCATGATTATCATTCTCGCTTCTATCTTGTCACAATGGTTATTTTTATGGCTTCTAGCAGACTCAACAATCATTTTTAAGGGAAAGGTTGAATCATTTGCCTGAAGTTAAGCCCATCCTTGATAGAGTCTATAGCCTCCTTCATTATAGAAGCATTCAGTTGTGCAATATAAACTTGCAAGTTAATGAAGCAATCATGTTTATCTTATCACTTGATGGATTCATCATGGGCCTGTGTCCAACCACTGTCTAATTTCTGTGGCCAGGTTTTCTTACATAGATTGAAACAGAGAAAATTAAAATTTTCAGTTATCACAGCTCATCAAAGTATCCAATAAAACTGTAAGAAAATGAGATATTAAACCAAATAAAACAATTATAAATAAGTAAAGATCCAGCATAAAATATGTCTCGTCCTTTCATGTCTTTGTACCCTTAAGCATACAAGTTAGATTAATGTTCATGAAAAACAGGAACGTTTCATAGCTCCACTGCTTTTTTTTATTGCTCTGACTAGATTTAAACTGCATTTTCAAGATAAATTTACATATCAGCAAGAATCTAGTTCAGCACAATTGTGACAAATTAGCTGGCAGAGTATACAACCAATGAATTTAATCACACTTGACAGATCAATGAAATAAAGCAAATATTCAGAAAACATTTTTTATGTTTATATGTAAGCAAGAATGTATTGTTTACACAATATTTCTAACACATTGAAACACATATTTCACTACAATGTTTAGGAAAGAATTTACAAAAGGTACTTTTCTTGGGCTGAAATGACAAAAATGTTTCCTTGCATTAATGGTTAGTGTGAGGAAGGATGCTCCTTTACATTGATTGTCACTAAAGGAACGAATGCTCCCTTGTGTTAGTAGTCAGTAGTAGAAAGAATACCTCCTTCTATGGATGCCTGTAAAACATAGAATGCTCCCTTATGTTGGTGATCAGTAGGAAGAATGATCCCTTAAGTTGGTTATCTGTTGAAAGAATAACTCTAATTACAGATGTGTTCAGTAGGAATAAGCATGCCCCTTGTGTAAGTGATCAATTGAAAGAAGAATGCCTCATTATATGGATGGTCAGTAGGAGTAAGAATGCTCCCTTATTTTGGTTATCATTAAGGATACAAAGGGCCCCTTACATTATTGCTCAATAGCAGGAACAATGTTCCTTCACCTTAGTTAGCAGGGAGAAGAATAGTCCCTTATATTGGTGTTCAGTAAGAGGAACAGTGCTCCCTTGCATTGATGGTGAATAAGGAGAAAAATGCTATGTTACATTGGTTGTTAGTAAGAGGAAAAAGCCTCCTTACATTGGTGGTCAAAGGAAAAAAGAATGCTTCTTTAGGTTGGTGATCTCTAGGATGAAGGATGCTCCCTTATGTTTGTGGCCAGTGACGAAAAATTATTTCCTTACATTGGTGGTCATTTGGTGGAATAATGCTTTCTTTGGTTGGTAATCAGTAGGAGGAAGAAAGCTTCCTTATGTTGGTAGTAGGAGAAAGAATGATCCCTTAGTGGTCAGTAGAAGGAAGAGTGTCCAATTCTACCCACTGATTACTTACTACTAATCAGTGCAAAAGCTTTAAGGCATGAAGGAGAAACTCCACTCTGGTCTAGGCCATAGGTGGAAAGAGAGCACTGACTGGCAGGACAAAATCACCACTGACAGATTTGCTATACAGAGCAAACACTCACCTGAATCCACATGTAATTTTCATGTTGGAAGGATTAGCAAATAGTGACTAGAGCTCTATCTGTTAGCATCTGTATTTGTGTATTACATACCACCTGGTGTATTTCATACCGCTTGTATGAAATGTGTCACTGTACTGTGCTGGAGGGTGGCAATGGTATAATGTTGTGTAGGAGGAAAAAAAACAGTGGCTGCTTTCCTTGCATGCTGAAGGACACTGTAAAATTTAAATGAACTAGCCTGAGAAGCACTGACAGCATATGATCTGCCAGGACAGAGCTCAACCCCTTCTGTCCCCATTGGATTCCCCTCTGTCTTGGTCCCGTAGCAGTAACATGGACTCTATCTATCTATCTATCTATCTATCTATCTATCTATCTATCTATCTATCTATCTATCTATCTCTATATCTATCCAGGGTATAAAAGAACCTTGCAAAGAAAGTGGGAAGTGGACTATACCCCTGTGGTAAATCCATCATAACCAATCAGATTTCATTTCGCTGCAGTCACTAGTGAAATTGATGACCAATTGCTGACTGTTACAGCAGCTAGCTCATAGTAATGACAGTTTGCACTACCTTAATATTGTTGATAGTGTCATAATATATTAGAGTGCATGCTAAATAAAACAGTACATGGAAAAGCGCAGTAATTGCAAAGTTCAGTTTCCGTAGCACCAAATCTGATTAAATCTTGTATTGCTTTTGAATTTAGCAAATTAAAATGTTTTTGGTTGTTAAAGATTACTGCCTTATACACATAGTGGTTTGATTCCTAGCCTTTCTATTGGATAATCCTGTATATGTATGCTTTAGAATGTGTGACTATTCTCTCCCTTTCTTACATTCTGTGTTCCAACCAAGGGCTACACTTGGACGAATGCAAAAACTTTTTTTTTTTTTTTTGTTGAATTCCAATTAGCAGGGAGAAGTGATTTTCTAAAGCACCAGCATTTACAAAGAAAAATTATTTAAAGGGAATTTTCTTTGTAAATGTAACTTTTATTGTAGTACACCCTACAGCAAGAATGAGAAAAAAAATACACAGTCCCCCAAAAAATGTACGCCAGACATTTTAAGTTTAATATGAATTTTAAGAGGAATATTCATGCAAAAAATCCCCCAAAATGTTCCCTTAGAAAATCTATACCAGACTATGAATCCATGCATGCAGTCTGGCTGTCCAGGAAAAGGAGAGAGTGAGCATGTGCCCCCTCCACCACCCCCCCCTTTTTACCATGCCAGACTACATGCCCTCAACATAGGGGAGTGCCTTGTCCCCTTGTCAATGTCATTGCCCAAATATAGCACTGCTATCTCCACCCTCTTTGCTTACGTGGATGGGGATTCCCAGCTATGTAAGCAATGTGCTGGTAAAAGTAGGAGTTGCTAAGAATACAGCACGTGCCAGCACTTGCTGCTTCCTTAGCAGCCATTCACACCAGAAAGTTGTCATATAAAGAAGAGGTAGAAAGGGCAATAGTTCAGGTGTTTATCATCTTATCCCTAGTGTGTTCATGTTTAAAAACATAAACCAGATAATCATGGTGAGCAGTGCTTCAAGAACACACCTAGTTTCCAAGCAAAAAAGCAGCTCATCTCTAATTCTATGTTGGATCTTTGCCTGTCACCAGAAGAGAATGTTAAAAAACAGGATATTTGCTTATAAATGATCACCATATTTACTGAAATGAGTGAACGTTTAGTTTCCAAAGACAACATTCTTTACACTTTTGGTAAATCAGGCCGAGTGTCTTACAACCCCAGTTACTTTACTGTGCTGTAGCGGGAGTTGGTTACGAGCCAACGCTGGTTTTGTGGACCCAGAACTACTGTATCTGCAATGCTTGGTTGGCTTTACAATATGTACACTCAAAGGACGTTCTTCTGATTTTGGGATGGGAATGAGATGATAGTGGCTATGGAAAATTGTGGATGGTGTATACTTCACACATAGGTTTCCCACTTGTACATGTCTGGAACAACATGGTCTATGTCTGCTATGAAGGAAACAAACTTTGCTGTTTTTTTCAGATCTTAAATTTTGGTCTGGTTTCTAAAGCCTGGAGTTGTAAAGTTTTCAGTGGGATAAAGCTCTCATTCCTAAGTCCACATCCTACATTTTACCCAAATAATAGTAAATGTTTTTGAGCTTTCTGGGTATTTGTTGCATAGCCCTGTCTGTTTTCTCACCAAGGCAGAGCTGCTGTAGTCCCAGCTACCTAACTGATTTGGTTTTTCGCAATCTCTAGACAAGACATTCAGTTTGCTCACATACAGACTAATGCTTGCACAATTCAGACTTAGCCCTGGTTCACACTATAGCTCACATGTATGAGTATCACAGCAACCACACTGCATTTCTGTCCAATTCACATGTGATTGAGTGCAGTGCGATTTGAGCCCATTAATTTTGAAAGGGTTAAAATCACACTGCATAGCAAGAAAACATGTAGGCAATTTTTTTTTTGAGCCACACTGTAACCTGGACCTCATGGTCATTTTGTACCATGGGATCGGGTGCAGGCAAGTGCATTGCATTTGTGACATGCTTTTTGGGGTGTCATTAGCTTTGTATTGACACCTGAAGCAGATTGCAAAACACAGTACGATTGCAATACGGTGTGGGAAACGTGCTGGGATTACTGCGTTTCCCGCAACGTATATGTGTGAACCTAGGCTTACTGACCTGTTTATGACAGACTGCCTCTTGACACTTTCTAACTCTTATTCAGGAGGCATCAGTCTGATTAAGATGCTGGTCTGTTTCAGCATGTTTTGCCTGCATGAATGTTGGTTCTACACAGGAGACCTGACTGATTGGAAACTCTTCTCATTTGTGGATAAAACCCATCATTCATACTAATTACATTGTATTCTGATCATTTAGGTATCTTTTCACTGCTCTACTCTTATCACCCATTGCATTTTCATAGTGACAGTGTTTCTTTACCATACAGTATATATATATAGTATATAATTTCAAACACAACATAGATATAAACTCATCTATCCTGTCACATGCTAGTTTTACTCAAGAAATCAGTTACTGTTAAATACATTGTAGAACTCCGTTAACCCCATTTTTAGGACACCTTTGATGTCTGCAACCCAGGCATGAGACTTTTACATTAACAAATGTGATTTTCATTTTTTTGTACAGCAAATAATCTCAGTATCCTAATTGAAAATGAAAGCCATAATATCCGGCTTGATTTTGTGCAGGCTATGTTTGGGGAACATTTTGCTTCACTATTTTATTTGATAAAACTGGCTTCTGTTTATCTGATATTTTAAACCTCAATCAGCCATAATTGAAAGGCTATTACTGATTTTTGTCAGTGAAAAACATATGAAAAATGAATGATCGTATAAATGAAAAAAGCTGCTCAATACAATGGACCATTAGGAATATGTCAGCAACATAGTGGGGAGTAGCAGGAGGAAAGATATTTGATAGATAGTTAAAATGCTCTTTTATGTGCTGTCTGCAGTCAAAATCTTACATCTAATGGGAAAATAAAAGCTTCTTCTTCTTTGATGTTGTTGCAAGCTTATGGTTTAAAGAAGGTCTTGGTTGTATTACAGTAAATCAACTTTATCAGATATTTGAGAAATAAAACATGATCAAGCACTTGTTGTACTACCAACAGAGCATATTGTAGCACACTTTTTGAAACAATGATACACACCATGTTTATGTAATACTGCTATAATAAACAGTGTAAACTAAAATAGGCATGGACTTACTTATCATGAAGATATTTGTCTTCTATGTCGTTTGGGATTAAGAAAGGGGATAAAATATAAAATATATGAGGACAGCAGAGTAACATGTTGGTGACAGAGTGAAATTACCTAATCACAACCATTTTGAAATTACTATTAGTCATGGAAAGCATTTTGAACATTCAGCAAGTAGATATAGAATAAAGCTAAGCAGTTCCAAGGATCCCCTGGAGCCTAGTCATGCGATGGAACTTCTGGAACCATTAGGAAACAAAACATTTGTAGTAATGCATTGGCTATTTATCTAGTGAAATCTCTCTTACATAAATCTGATCTACAACATCTCATCAATCTACAACCACATTAATACACAACAAAGGATTCTTAGAGTACTACAGGTTAGCTAAAGAGAGAGCACAATGAAAGCAACAGATTCTATAAATAATTCCATAGAAAATTTATATGTGAATATAAGAATTTTCATAACTTGCATCACTCAAATTAGCATATAGGATATTTCAAAAGGCCCGATTCTCTGCTCAAACAGGAAATTATTTTAGGGGTTCATGCAGAAATCAATGCTCCAAGCCTCCCTGCTGTAAATTCATTTATGTGCTGGTTTAAGGTGTTGTCCTCACTCCATGAAGATACAGAAAAGGAGAAGCCACACACCAATGATGTAATTTGGCTCAGTCATTTTATATTTAGCCATCAAAGCAACACAGCTCATCCCTACCAGGAGACTGCTTGTCTTTGACATGTTTAACCCTTACGGGCTTAGTTATAGAGGTCTCAGTGACTAAGCCCTAGCTGGTTCTCCTTTCTAGAAATTATGCCATTTACATTGGTTTGTGGATACAGGCTCCCCGAATAATTCCTCAAATTTAAATTTTAGCATTAGTGTTATAATATGAGGAACTGCACATTACAATTTCCTATGGCTTACAATTCTGTAGATAATCCCATGTTTTCATGAATGCTGGTAACCTTCCTCATACTTTATATTGAGCTACAAGCAATAGTACAGGCTGGGACTGGCACTGGCATATATCATCTTGTCTAAGCACCATCATGAATAGGTACCTGCTACACTTTAATTCAACACTTCAACTAAGGCACAAAAAGAAAATCAGCAATACACAATTTTGCATAAACCCACACAGATGAATGGTGACTGTCAGGGATCCTGGGCTCACGGCGGTGCGCGCATGCGCAGAACGCTGGGTCCTCGGCGATCGCGGCGGCGGCCGCGCATGCGCACTAGCGATCGCGGCCGCACCAATGGAAGAACAGGGCGCCCTATTTAAACGGCCCTGTGCATATCCAAGTTGCCGCAAGGTCTTGTTCCTGTCCTGTAAGTACGCTTCCTTGTTGCCAAACTCTGCCTGTTCTGATATACGCTGACCTTCTCCTGCTCTGACCCCGGCTCATTCCTGACCATCCTTCTGCCTGACCCTCGGTACCACGCTGCCCGCTACCTGCTGAACCTGGCTTGTGACCCCGACCATTCTCCGCTTACTCCCCCTGTACCACGCTGCCCGCACGATACCGACCCGGCTAGTCTGACCTCGCTTACCCCTGACAGTCGCCCATCCATCCCGCTCGGATTGGGATCTGTCATCCCATCCATCCCGCTCAGATCGGGATCTGTCATCCCCTTCACAGCAGGCTCAACCCGGGCACATACCCTCAGCGGGACCCCTCTGCCACCACCGGGGGTGCCCAGGAACGCGACCTGGTTTCAGTCTTGCACCAAGTCCATCCCCACCATCAGGGGCCCTGGTGAAAAGGCAGACTGGGACTTAGACTCCGCGTCCTGGGAAACCCCGTGCCGTGGACCACTAGAGATCCTGTTGGGCGGAGCCTGACAGTACCTTGCGGCTAGAGATGAGCGAAGAAATGAAAAATTCGATTCGACTGATTCGGCGAATTCGTGGACAATATTCGATTCGAGTCGAATAAATTCGCTGTGAATTTAACTTAAATAAGGGTGTTTCTAGGCTTCAGAGAGACTTAATATTAGTGCAGAACACTGTACCTTTAATTTAAATGCCCTTGGAGTCTGCTGGGGAAGAGAAATAATACTGTCAGTCAGTATGACATGCAGATGAGTGCCGTCGATCTTAGAATCACCGCACACTTCACTCATTTGGGCAGTCACGGGGCCAAAACCAGGGTGTGGAGCCACAGTGTGGCGGTGGAGGCAGCAGCAATGGGAGGCCATAAAGCACCCTATGACAAAAATGGAAACCACCAGCAGTGTGAGGAGACCTGAAAGTGGCACATGGCAGAGTGTGGCGATAGAGACAGCAGCAATGGGAGGCCGTACAGGGACCCATGACACACTCTGGACCTGGCAGCAGCATGAGGAGGCGGTACAGGGGGCCCATGACAGATTACGGGCCTGGCAGCAGCATGAGGAGTCGGTACGGGGGCCCATGGCAGATTACGGGCCTGGCAGCAGCAATGGGAGGCCGTACAGGGACCCATGACACACTCTGGACCTGGCAGCAGCATGGGGAGGCGGTACAGGGGCCCATGACAGATTACGGGCCTGGCAGCAGCATGAGGAGTCGGTACGGGGGCCCATGACACACTCTTGGACCTGGCAGCAGCATGAGGAGGCGGTACAGGGGCGCATGACAGATTACGAGCCTGGCAGCAGCAACTTGGACAGGAGGACGTTCAGCTTCTGCACCGTCGGGTGCGTGTTCGCAAACTGTTGTCTCTTGGAAACGGATTCCAAGAAAGACTGCTGACGGAATCCGTGAAGAGGAGTAGCAGGAGAAGGAGCATCTGAACGAGCGGAATATGCCAACAAGCGACAACAGGGGCCCATGTCAGATTACGGCCTGGCAGCAGCATGAGGAGTCGGTACGGGGGCCCATGGCAGATTAGGGGCCTGGCAGCAGCTATGGGAGGCCCGTAATCTGCCAGCACCCTATGACAAAAAATGGAACCACCAGCAGTGTGAGGAGACCTGAAAGTGGCACATGGCAGAGTGTGTGGCGATGGAGACAGCAGCAATGGGAGGCCGTATAGGGACCCATGAGAGACTCTGGACTTGGCAGCAGCATGAGGAGGCGGTATATAGGGGCCCATGGCAGATTAGGGGCCTGGCAGCAGCTATGGGAGGCCCGTAATCTGCCAGCACCCTATGACAAAAAATGGAACCCACCAGCAGTGTGAGGAGACCTGAAAGTGGCACATGGCAGAGTGTGGCGATGGAGACAGCAGCAATGGGAGGCCGTATAGGGACCCATGAGAGACTCTGGACTTGGCAGCAGCATGAGGAGGCGGTATATAGGGGCCCATGGCAGATTAGGGGCCTGGCAGCAGCTATGGGAGGCCCGTAATCTGCCAGCACCCTATGACAAAAAATGGAACACACCAGCAGTGTGAGGAGACCTGAAAGTGGCACATGGCAGAGTGTGGCGATGGAGACAGCAGCAATGGGAGCCGTACAGGAACCCATGAGAGACTCTGGACTTGGCAGCAGCATGAGGAGGCGGTATAGGGGCCCATGGCAGATTAGGGGCCTGGCAGCAGCTATGGGAGGCCCGTAATCTGCCAGCACCCTATGACAAAAAATGGAAACACACCAGCAGTGTGAGGAGACCTGAAAGTGGCACATGTTTGGGGCATGATTCATGGCGGATTTAGTCAGTTGTGTCAGGAACTGGTGGTTTGAAATCCAGACTAATCCACGCCTGATTCATTTTCACAAACGTGAGTCTCTCCACACTTTGGGTGGACAGTCGTGTCCTCCGCGGAGTTGCAATACCTCCTGCCGCACTAAACACGCGCTCCGATGCCACGCTACTGGCCGGGCATGACAGCCTTTCAAGGGCAAATTCAGCTAGTTGGGGCCAAAGGTCAAGTTTCGTTGCCCAGTAGTCAAGGGGATTGTCTACCTCAGTTGGCAGGGTGCTGTCCAAGTAGGCCTAAGCCTGTTGTTTGAGGTCCTGCTCCAGGTCCACCTGATGCTGCTGCTGCTGCTGCTGCGGCTGGTTAGTAGTTTCCTCACTGCGCTGGTGAAGAAAGCTACTCATCATCGACTGCAGACTGAGGCAGCCGCTGCTGGTGGAGCTGCCACTGCTCCTACCACCCACCCCTCCCCTGCTGCCATGGCAGCGGAACGCGAGCGCACAGGGCCCACAGTGTCTGAGGATGGACGTTGGCGCAGAAAGGCAGAGACCAGCTGACTATATAGGTGGTTTTTATAGTACTTTATTTTGGCCTCCCTCTAAGGAAGGGGTGAAAAAAGCCACCATTTTTGAACGGTAGCGAGGGTCCAACAAGGTGGACAGCCAAAAGTCATCCCTCTGTCTGATGGTTTATTATTCGGCTGTCGCTACGCAAGCAAGCGAGCATGCTATGGCTCATTTGTGTGCAAGGAATGCGAGGGACTCCCTGCCTCCATCTCCACAGCATACTGCCACGGTGCGTCTGGGTCCTCTGTCTCCTCTTCCTCCTCCTCTACCAGATGCTCCTGCTCCTCCACTCCTGTCCGCTGAGTGGAAAAACCACCCATTTCACTCAATAATTCCTGAGCACCAATGTCCTCCTCTACCTCCTCCTCTTCTTCCTGTCCTGCCCCCACAGGGGTCATGTGGCGTTGAGATCTGTGCGCCACGTCTACCGCACCCTGACCAGCCATTGTTAACAGCATTTGTTCCAGGACGTGCAACAGAGGAATGACGTCGTTCATGCCCATAGTCCTGCCAACTCACAAATAGCGTGGCCTCCTCAAAGGGCCTGCTGAGAAGCGCAGGTGTCACGCATGAGCTGCCAATGGCTGACATCTAACTTACACAGGGAGTACCTTTATCCGCTTTTAACATCAGGAAATCTGTGATGGCTTTTTGCTGTTGTAAAGGCGGTCTAACATATGTAGGGTTGAATTCCACCTTGTTGCAACGTCACAGCATGAGGAGTCGGTATAGGGGCCCATGGCAGATTAGGGGCCTGGCAGCAGCTATGGGAGGCCGTAATCTGCCAGCACCCTATGTCAAAAAATTCAACAACACAGCAGTGTGAGGAGACCTGAAAGTGGCACATGGCATGAGAGACTCTGGACTTGGCAGCAGCATGAGGAGGCGGTATATAGAGGGCCTATGGCAGATTAGGGGCCTGGCAGCAGCTATAGGAGGCCCGTAATCTGCCAGCACCCTATGTCAAAAAATTCAACACACCAGCAGTGTGTGAGGAGACCTGAAAGTGGCACATGGCAGAGTGTGGCGATGGAGACAGCAGCAATGGGAGGCCGTACAGGGACCCATGACAGACTCTGGACTTGGCAGCAGCATGAGGAGACGGTATATAGGGGCCATGGCAGATTAGGGGCCTGGCAGCAGCTATAGGAGGCCCGTAATCTGCCAGCACCCTATGTCAAAAAATTCAACACACACAGCAGTGTGAGGAGACCTGAAAGTGGCACATGGCAGAGTGTGGCGATGGAGACAGCAGCAATGGGAGGCCGTACAGGGACCCATGAGAGACTCTGGACTGGCAGCAGCATGAGGAGGCGGGTATATATAGGGGCCCATGGCAGATTAGGGGCCTGGCAGCAGCTATAGGAGGCCCGTAATCTGCCAGCACCCTATGTCAAAAAATTCTACACACCAGCAGTGTGTGAGGAGACCTGAAAGTGGCACATGGCAGAGTGTGGCGATGGAGACAGCAGCAATGGGAGCCGTACAGGGACCCATGAGAGACTCTGGACCTGGCAGCAGCATGAGGAGGCGGTATATAGGGGCCCATGGCAGATTAGGGGCCTGGCAGCAGCTATAGGAGGCCCGTAATCTGCCAGCACCCTATGTCAAAAAATTCTAACACCAGCAGTGTGTGAGGAGACCTGAAAGTGGCACATGGCAGAGTGTGGCGATGGAGACAGCAGCAATGGGAGGCCGTACAGGGACCCATGAGAGACTCTCTGGACCTGGCAGCAGCATGAGGAGGCGGTATATAGGGGCCCATGCAGATTAGGGGCCTGGCAGCAGCTATAGGAGGCCCGTAATCTCCCAGCACCCTATGTCAAAAAATTCTACACACCAGCAGTGTGTGAGGAGACCTGAAAGTGGCACATGGCAGAGTGTGGCGATGGAGACAGCAGCAATGGGAGGCCGTATAGGGACCCATGAGAGACTCTGGACTTGGCAGCAGCATGAGGAGGCGGTATATAGGGGCCCATGGCAGATTAGGGGCCTGGCAGCAGCTATGGGAGGCCCGTAATCTGCCAGCACCCTATGTCAAAAAATTGAAAACACAAGCAGTGTGAAGAGACCATCATAATGTGGCACATGGCAGAGTGTGGCGATGGAGACAGCAGCAATGGGAGGCCGTACAGGGACCCCATGAGAGACTCTGGACCTGGCAGCAGCATGAGGAGGCGGTATATAGGGGCCTATGGCAGATTAGGGGCCTGGCAGCAGCTATAGGAGGCCCGTAATCTGCCAGCACCCTATGTCAAAAAATTTTACACACCAGCAGTGTGTGAGGAGACCTGAAAGTGGCACATGGCAGAGTGTGGCGATGGAGACAGCAGCAATGGGAGGCCGTACAGGGACCCATGAGAGACTCTGGACCTGGCAGCAGCATGAGGAGGCGGTATATAGGGGCCCATGGCAGATTAGGGGCCTGGCAGCAGCTATGGGAGGCCCGTAATCTGCCAGCACCCTATGTCAAAAAATTGAAAACACAAGCAGTGTGAAGAGACCTGAATGTGGCACATGGCAGAGTGTGGCGATGGAGACAGCAGCAATGGGAGGCCGTATAGGGACCCATGAGAGACTCTGGACTTGGCAGCAGAATGAGGAGGTGGTATATAGGGGCCCATGGCAGATTAGGGGCCTGGCAGCAGCTATGGGAGGCCCGTAATCTGCCAGCACCCTATGTCAAAAAATTGAAAACCACAAGCAGTGTGAAGAGACCTGAATGTGGCACATGGCAGAGTGTGGCGATGGGAGACAGCAGCAATGGGAGGCCGTATAGGGACCCATGAGAGACTCTGGACTTGGCAGCAGCATGAGGAGGCGGGTATATAGGGGCCTATGGCAGATTAGGGGCCTGGCAGCAGCTATAGGAGGCCGTAATCTGCCAGCACCCTATGTCAAAAAATTTATACACACCAGCAGTGTGTGAGGAGACCTGAAAGTGGCACATGGCAGAGCGTTTGTGTGGCGATGGAGAGACAGCAGCAATGGGGAGGCCGTACAGGGACCCATGAGAGACTCTGGACTTGGGCAGCAGCATGCAGGAGTAGGCGGTATATAGGGGCCCATGGCAGATTAGGGGCCTGGCAGCAGCTATAGGAGGCCCGTAATCTGCCAGCACCCTATGTCAAAAAAAATTCTACACACAGCAGCAGGTGTGAGGAGACCTGAAAGTGGCACATGGCAGAGTGTGGCGATGGAGACAGCAGCAATGGGAGGCCGTACAGGGACCCATGAGAG